GAGTGGTCAAATAAGAATACAATCAACACTATACTAGTATTTTTAAAATAAGGAGTGAGGCATAATATATGGCAAAGAGTTATAAAAATAGGTATATTCTGGTATTTAAATGAGAAACACAAATGTAACTGAATGTTTAGTGACCTATTCTTCAATATAGAGCACAATCCTGGTATCATTACAAAATAAAATAACTTCAAATTAATGCATCTGCTTATGTTCTTTGTTTAAACAACAATAGAAATTAGGATGATCTAAATTTAACTCCCTTAGAAGTCAGGAAAAATATAAAAATGAAGTTTAATAGTCATATATGAAGGCTCAATCACAATAAACTATGGGACAAGTGTTTATAACTAATTACATAAAATTATCATCCACCTTGCTTAAATACAGAAAAAGAGGAATAGAAAATACACTAAACAGTTTACTTATTGACTAAAAGAATAGGAGTTTTGAGGGGATTTTATAGTTTGTTTATTATAACAGTTTTACAGATGAAAACTTTATTTCAGAACTACACTAAATTGTTTTGTAGCCTGAATGTATAATCAATGACTCAGAATAAAATAATAATAAAAGATAGTTAGGTGAATTCTAATTTACAACCCTTACAGAATGTGTGAGGATGCTGGCTATATCAGTCAGGGTCCAATTAGGAGACAGAAACCATGCCTGTAATTTGAATAAGGAACAAGTGTTGGAGAGGCCGTGAATGTAAACTGGTAATAATGCAAACTGGTACAACCACAATGGTAAACAGTATGGAGATTCCTAAAAAAATTAAGAATAGAGTTACCATATGACCCAGCACCCCCTCTTTTGGGTATCTACCTGAAATTTTTGAAAAGATTTATTCGTAAAGATATATGTACCCCTATTTTCATTGCAGCATTAGTCATGGTGGACAAGACATGGAAACAACCAAAGTATACTTTGATAGATGATTGGATAAAGAATATTTGGTATATACATACAATAGAATGCTACTAAGCCATAAGGAAATATGATATACTGACATTTGCAACAGCATGGATGGATCTTGAGAATATCATGCTAAAGGAAATAAGTCAGAAAAAATAGGAATTATATGATTTCACTCATATATGGGATATGAAACTGAAAGCAACAAATTTTCAGGCAAGACGAACCAACAAACAAAAACTCATAGACACAGACAATAGTATGGTGGTTACTAGAGGGGATTAAATATATGGTAACAGAAGGATATCTAACTTTGGGTGGTAAACACACAATGCAATATACAGATAATGTATTATAGAATTGTACACTTGGAACCTACATAATTTTATTAGCTAATGCCACCCCAATAAATTCAATTAAAAGAATAATGATTAACTATTTTAAAAAGTGTTAACTACTAAAAGAAGTAAACAAGTAGTTAAGCGATACAGAGCAGCAACTGCAGAACACAGCTATTGCCCATAGAGCTGAGGGAGAGTGAACAGGCAGAGCCCCCCACTCCAAGTCTAAGAGTCAGATATCTTTGGAGAGGCTGTGACTACACAGGAACTCTGCTGGTGACCGAGGTACTTCGAGAATGCATAGGCCCCAGAGGGTGAGGGTTACAGGTAGTGCTCCGATCTTGTTCCCTGGAGGACACGGGATCTTATCAGAAGGTTTAGGCTAGAGCTTAGCCATGAACCAAATGCTTACCAGGCTCTCCATATACTTAGTCTGTTGTGAAGACAGGGAAAACAGCACTCTGGAAAATGGAAGCTAAGTTTCTTCTGCTGTTCTGGCTTTTTAGCATCCCCACAGTCCCTTCAATTGGCCAAGTCTAACATCAACTCAACTGGCAAAGAAGAGTTAGGCCCACCTCTGGTAGCACAGAAATAGCAAAGAAGCATTTGGTGAAGAAAGGCAATAAAATTAACAACTTGTCTGCTGCTCCTTCCCCCATCCTTGCTGTGGAAACCAATAATGGTAAATGTGCAAGGTCACATAAGTATGCTTACAGTCATAAATAATAATTTCTTGGTTCTTTTTTCTAAATATGGTTCCCTATTAGTCTCACTTCAAACTATTTACCAAGAAATCATGTAGGTGATATTACTTAACAACTTAATGTTTTATTGAGACATAAAGTACATAAACTTTAAGTGTACAACTTAATAAACTTTTACAAACATATACACTCATGTGACTACCAACTAAGACAAGTTAAAGTCTGTTACCAGCACCTTGGAAGGCTCACTCTTGCTCTTGCAAAGCAGTAATCATTTATATTTTAAATGTTCCTTAAAAAATCTTTACTCGCTATTTTACATGTTTAGTATAACTAATAGAAAGTATAAAGAAAAATAATGCATCCTTTTTTTAATGGAAACTATGCATGCAATGTTACTTTTCATTAAAAACCTATCTAACTTTATCATTCTACATTTCTTTCTTAAGTTGTAAAAGTACTCTGTAGAAATTACTGTGCCCTGTAAAGCAATTTGCCACACCATTAAGTTAATAATAATTAGCAATTTTCTCATTATTTCAAAGAAAAATTAAATAAAATAACACATACAGCCTCAAATACCCCTCTCTCTTTTGCATAAAAATTAAGATGAAAATGAAGTTTTTGAGAATAAATTCTTTTTCACTAATACCAAACTGTCCCCTTAATTAAGGTGAGAAAAGTCTCCATGTATGCAAACAAATAACAACATAACAGATATCTAGCAATAATTTGGGTTATTAAAGAAATAATTTAAATACATGTTAAAACAGAAATTTAAGTATATTTCTTCAAAACTCATAGCATTTAACATTAACAAATTTGGAATATAGATATATCATTTTATTGTAAATAGTGAGAGTAACACATTAAATAGAAGCAGTCATTTCTCATATTTTAAAATATTTGGATTTTAGAACTGTTCAAACTTTTCAGTTGAATAAATTTAACCAATTAACCAGTATAAGCTTAGTAATCCAAGAGGCTCAAGAAATTTGATATTAGAAGTTTTTCTTATTCCTATGAATTACTGGGTTTCTAAAAAGCTATTTTAATATTTTTATCATATAGATTTTAAAAATTGACTGTCATTTTGAAGTTTGACACATTCAGCTCCATATTTTATTTTTTTCCTACTAGCTTTCCATCACCAGTCAAAAGTCTTTGAACTTATGATTAGGCTTCATAGCCTGAAGGTGGTGAGTATTTTTCCAGAAGGTTTTCAGATTTTTTTAAATGCCTCCCTCTACTGGACTCAGTTCAATTTTTTATAATGGGAAGCATACTTTAAACAGCATTGATTTCATGTTTTTAATACATTATTTTACTTTATTGCTCTTCACTGAGAGCACTTACTATCAACTTATTTTTTAGAAGTTTTATATTTGGTAATATTTTGTTGGTTCTTTGTTTCCTGTATAAGGGGCTTTCAAAAATTAAGCAAATTTGCAGATTTCCCAACACATCCGGACACGACAGTGTGATATTAGGAGATTCCTGAAATTAACTAGTAGAATGCAAATGCTTTGTACATTACCCATTTGCTGCATAGAAAATGAGGAAGATTGCCAATGGGTTAATTTTAGAGAGAAAAACGACTGTTTTGAAATAAAATACAAAGTTTACTAACCAGACCATATTTTATTCTTAATCACATCAATTTGGGAGTATCCTCTTGCATTTAAATATAAGGAAATGATGTCAGGAGCTGACCTATTATTTTCAAAGACAAAAGTTATCACACACAAAATAAATTACTTTTTCTAGTTTACATGTTCAATTCAAATTATTTTAATGAGTTAGCACTTTTTATAGTTTCCTGAAATGTATATGTTTAAACTTTTTAGCAAAAGTAACGCTGTATTTAGTTTAGCCGCCTTAAGCAGATGCCTGTGGATGCTACTCCTATTTCCTTTATCCTCACTTAGGAAGGATATTTGGTCACACACACTCCTACACACACAGCTCAGTTATTCACTCTGATCTTGGGACTCTTCTTTCCATCTCCCATCTATTTTTTATTATTATTATTCCAGGTCTCTTCCTCTTCCTTCCTTCCTTCCCACCCACTCAGCTCAACCACCCACTGAAATCCTGAGTTCTGCTCTTAGGTAGTTTTTCAAAATTAGCCCTTTCCCCCATTTCCCTTCAGAAAGACTTCTGCATGCCTTATTCCTCCTTGGAGACCACTTGCTCGCCTCAGCTCTGCAATCATTCTCCAACCTCTACTTACCCCTACAGAGGTTTAGACGGTTTCTTGCACTTCCATTTCCCTCTCCATAACAAAATATTTCTTTGGAGGGGCATCCAAGAATCCCAAAAAGTAAATTCTGAGAACCAGTGCAGCAACAGGGCTTTGAATTAGATGAGTAATTTTGCAAAGCTTTGGTAATACTAAAGTGCACTATGGTGAACGCCTAGCTGATTGTATTTTCATTTGTAATGAGGAAGTACTGCCAAGAGTTTCAATCAAGCTTACGTGTAACAGCACACATTACCTAGGATTCCATGCAATTACAGAGCTCTTCTGAATGACCCTGGATAATTGGGATGTGAAGTTTGAATTTGAGTGCAAGTGTCTGTAGACTCCAGCAAGCTCACCATAATAACAATGTAAGGCAATATATAAGGTGTCCCAAAAATGTATACATACATTTTGAATAATTATAAAGGTAGTGTCTATTAAAATACATTTTAGTTTCAAATTGAGCTATCAGGTGTTAAAGTGTGCATACATTTTTTGGGACACCCTGTATAAAAAGTAATGTTATATCCATCAATTTTTAAAAAGTTTATTGTAATAAATTAAAAAAGTATGAAAAATGCACCTCTAATAATTTCACTTTTTAAAAAGTGACTTCAGATGGTTTCCATTTAATTTGAAAAAAATGAATTATTAATCTTTACATACTGCAAAATAAACAATGTTATTCATTTATTCATTAGTTCAATGAATACTTACTAAACACCAACCATGAGCCAAACACAGTTTAACATAAATTATCAATAAAAGCCTTGATTTGAAACTTACCGTGGGCCATGCGATGGAACCAATAGTAGCCAAGGTCAACTCCTAAGAAAGTTAAATACCAAGTCCATGGAGAATCCCAAGGCAAAATGATGAGCCTGTAGTTCTCCCAGATATAAATGTAACTGGTCAGTTCAATGCTCCTGAAAAACAATCTGGAAAAATAAGATTCACAAGCAATGATTATATTACCTTTTAGATGTAAAATTATGCTAAAACATTTTAGATAATATTAAAAAATTAATATAGTCATGTGTAAAAATATAATCCTTCCCCCTTCTTTGTTGTTTCTGACTACTCACTCCATCACGTCTTTTAAGAGGCTCAATTTTCCTGGTATCAAAATGATTTACTTAATGTTTCCTTGTTTCATAGGTATCACTGATTACACTTATTTGCATTCCCAATTTCATGGAACTTAGGATGTCATTCACTTTTTATGTCTCTTAAAATGCTTTTCTTGGAACCCATAAACAAACATGACAAAACTTTGACTTGCTTTCTGTACTTGTCATTTCTAAATCTTAATGAACACAATGAGGGTGCTTTTTAAAGGAAGTCACTGTAAAAGGTAGAAATTATAAATAGCATATTTTAAAAGGTGTCTGCAAATTACCTACTGCCTTAAAATATGTTACTCCCATAATATTTTCCTTTAATTAAAGTTGCTGCTGGCTAACAATTCTCTCTTCCTCTCTATTATCTCCTTCCTCTCTCATACACACACACACACACACACACACACACACACACACACACACACACACTTTTAATGGTTTTTAGATGTTATTCTTAATATTATAAATTGGATATTCATAGCATTTCAATATTTCTTGTAATATAAACTACAGCTCTTATGGTATAAGGCAGTGGTCGGCAAACTCATTAGTCAACAGAGCCAAATATCAACAGTACAACGATAGAAATTTCTTTTGAGAGCCAAATTTTTTAAACTTAAACTATATAGGTAGGTACATTGTTATTAACTTAATTAGGGTACTCTTAAGGCTTAGGAAGAGCCACACTCTAGGGGCCAAAGAGCCGCATGTGGCTCGCGAGCCGCAGTTTGCCAACCACTGGTATAAGGGAATAACCTTCTCTTAGAAATAAAGTACATATATGAACCTAGTTAAAATAAACAGTTGTTTTTAAAACCCAGACAACAGGCCCTAACCAGTTTGGCTCAGTGGATAGAGCGTCGCCTGCGGACTGAAGGGTCCCAGGTTCGATTCTGGTCAAGGGCATGTACCTTGGTTGTGGGCACATCCCCAGTAGGGGGTATGCAGGAGGCAGCTGATCAATGTTTCTCTCTCACCGATGTTTCTAACTCTCTATCTCTCTCCTTTCCTCTCTGTAAAAAATCAATAAAATATATATTTTAAAATAAAAAAAAAAACAGACAACAGAATATATCTTGCCACCCACTGTACCAAGCTGTAAATTTTAAATTCTTATTTCAAGATCATTCAAAAAGTACACAAAATAAACTTCAATTTTATAAAGTGTGATAATTGTTTTCTTTAAATTACTGTGATCAAATTTAAGATCAGATTCAAGATAATTATTCCTTTTATTCTTTTAAAAATTTGATAGAATTTACTTTTCTTTTATATTTGTCATTTATATGTAAAATGTATTGATAATTCTACCTAATAACATTTATTTATAAAACATGAACAAGTGATGAAATTCTTAAATATTCTAATTTTAAATTAAAGTTGAAGAAGTAGCTTAAATTAGTATATTGTTAAAATTCACCATTTTAATAGTATTTCCCTTTATACAGTTACCTTCTTTGAGTTAGCATGTTACTGGCCCTTTTGGAGACCAGGCCTTTAATTTTAATGTACTTTTCATTTAATTATGATATGACTTTAATTATTAGTTAATGACATTAAAATTCTCATTTTATATGCTTCTATCATTTAATCTGTAAAACAGGTTACTTTACAACAGCAGTGATATAAATAATAGAAATACCAAAATACCTACACTTTTTCCCTAAAACCCAATTTTCAATTAGAGATTATTTCTGGTTTGTAAAATAGCCCTTGTACCCAGAGGGTAAGAAGATGCCTAAGAAAGAGACAGACCACTTCAGGTTGGTAGATGGCAAATTTAATAAACATGAAAACTTACAACCAACAGCAAGACAAGTAAATCTCCACACCAGCCCACCAGAATCTTTAAAAGGTTTGGTGCCAGATTACTGCAATTAAGCGAGTCATAACCTTTTTGCTGTTGGAGGGTCTTGCCTTCAATTTCTTTAAAAATATACGCAATACCTGTGAGGTACAATGAAGTGATTTCAGTAAAATTAGGTATGTCTGTGTAGAGCAGTGGTTCTCAACCTTCCTAATGCCACGACCCTTTAATACAGTTCCTCATGTTGTGGTGACCCCCAATTTCATTGTTACAAATTGAATATAATTAAAGCATAGTGATTAATCACAAAAACAATATGTAATTATATATGTGTTTTCCGATGGTCTTAGGTGACCCCTGTGAAAGGGTCATTCGACCCCCAAATGGGTCGCAACCCACAGGTTGAGAACCGCTGGTGTAGAGGCTTTAACTAGGTTCAGTCACTTATTCAATCCAGATCGTCTCAACAACACCTTACTCTCTCAAGGCTACATCCTGAAACAGCTGCTGATATGGGACTAAGAGGCAGAACATATATTCCAAGGATAGGAGATGAGGTAAGAAGCTTTCAATTGTGCAGGTCCAGTTCATGGGCAAGCCAGCATTCCTTTTGATGACCTTCAGCAATTATATGGCTGGAAAGAGCATTTTGGTCCCTGAGTGTGGGTTTTGATCCAAAGCAACTACCTGCCCAGAATTCCTCTCCAACCCGGGCCACATTCTGGATATTCCACAATCCCCTGTCAAAGTGGTCCAAGCCTGCATACAGGACCAGCGTGGGCCTGGCTCCTGGTCCGGTCCTTCAGAAGGCTGACCTGTGCAGGTGTGCAAACTCCTAGACATGACTAGGCAGTCAAGAGTGTCTATTTTTGGTCATGTAGACAGAGTTGGGACAAGCAATCTGGGATGTCCACACACGTGTGTGTGAGGTCCCTTACAAGACAGGACAGGGCATGGGGCCAGGGGCCCCCACGCTCTTCTGGAAATCTAAGGAATCTAAATGGAAACCTTGTCTTCCAATTTGTTATAGTTATTTGTCAAAGTAAGGAGGTGGGGAGTAGAACAAATTTTATTTTAAAACATGTTTTAGACAAGAGCTTCTCAGGTGTCATTACTGACATTTGGACAACATAATTCTTTTTGTAGGGGGTCTTTCCTATGAAAACTGTTACCTGAATTATGAAATCTTAAAATTATTTCCTGTTACCTATTAGTAAAAGGCTAACTATATGAATTTTAATTTTGGGGTAAAAATGGTAACTAATAACAATTTTATATGGTTCAGTCCAATAATTTCTCTAAAATAAGGATTCTAAACCTTGACACTATTGCCATTTAGGCCAGATAATTCTTTGTTGTGAAGGCCTGTCCTGTGAATTGTAGACTGTTTAGCAGCATACCTGACCTCTATTTACTAGATACCAGTAGCACAGCCCTCTCCCCAAGTTGTGACAACAAATGTCTCAGGGGTGTGGATTTCCCCAGTTGATACCCTAAAAAAAGACTGATCCAGAAAGAAAAATTAAAAATGAGAAAATACAACAGAAAATTGAAATAACCTACAACTTTTTACATAAGCTTTAGTACACGCTGTCAAAATTGATCCATTCATGGATTCATTCAATAAATTTATATTAAGAGCCTACTGGGTGCCAGGGACAGAACAAGACAGGGAGGACATAAAGGTGAACGGAACAAATATAATCACCAGCCTCATCAATGCCCCATCAGTTCAGAATCTTTGTGTGTGTTTTTTTTAAGTTACTGTCTCTTTTGTCAGTTCCGGTCACAAGTGAAATAGATTTTAAGACACGGAGTCTTTATTAAACAAGAGACCCTGCCTGCACGTGAAATACTTTTTATTTCCTGTACAGGTGCCAGATCTTGAGCAGACACCCAATTTATTACTTTGTCAACTTACTTATTAGGGTTGACACAAATCGAGCTGAAATATACCTGGCATCCTACAGTAACGGCTTTATTTTTTTTTCACACTTTAGCACGAAGCCAGACTTTCTTCAAGGTGAAGGGAAAGAGGGGAGAAGCTGTGGGAGTTAAATTCCCTGCTTTATATCAGCAAGATGAATATGATCTTCTTCCATCAGAAACGGGAAAAAACAGCCATGGACTGCCCACAACTACAAACAATCCAGCAAAGGGATACAGCTGGGAAAGGATTGTCAAGCTCTGGAAAGCCCTTGGTTGCAGGAAATAGCACCTACATTTTCAAAAATGTTCCCACCAGACCTTGAATCATAAACCAAAGTGCCTTCCTCTTTCGTTTTCAAATTCCTTCCTCTTCTCCCAGCCCCAACCCCCAGCATATGACTCTGCACTCTGGAATTCAAACTTCAACTCTGTAAACCCCATCCTGTGGGAAGTGACATATGTAATATGTATGTAAATATGAGTTTACTATATCATGTGGAGATGGAATATTGGGAAGTTCAGGGGCTTTGAATAACTAAATACTAGATCCCTTTTACTCACTAAATTTGAATGCAAGACCACAAAATGTTCTAAATATAAGGAGGCATTAGAATCCTCTAATCAATCTATAGAGGTTTCCCTTTCATTGTCCTATTTTCTTCATAAATTCCCCCCAAAGAGCAATTTTCTCTTGGGTCTGAAGTTGGTCTTTTGGAAAATGAAAAGTAGCTAATTCTTTATGTGTTTATATAACATTTTCTCTCAACACTAGAAATGTGTCCTATCAATATTTAGTTACTATAAAATCTGGTGAGGCACTAAATTGCTCTTCCAGTATGATCCTGGATTTTTAAAAAGATAAAAGTAATTTTATAATGTTTAGAGTTTTAAATAATTAATAAATTAGAATGAATATTATTTGGCGAAGAGATTACTAATTAAAGCTAATTAGTTACGACAGCCATCTCGGCTTGAATGTAAAATGGAAAGGAAATGTTGGACATGTCATTCCTTCTTTCATTAGGCTTCATAGACAATAAATTTATCTGGATCTCAAATACTTTCATGTTTTAATCCTTAATCAAGTAAATTAAACTTGATGCTCTCATTGCAAACTGTTAAAATTTCAAAGCAACTTGCAGCATTATGAAGTATGTCCCCCGTATTCACAGACATCTGCCAATTTATACTATTTCACAACTGTCATTAGAGCTGTGTGCACTCTCCGATTTGGCCAGATTATGCAAAGTTGAAAAAAATAAATTTTTATTTCTAATAATATTGTCCCATAAATCAGAAAATAAATCAATATTTAAATGAGATTATTATAAATATTCTTAGGAGCTTCAGGGAATTATAAATAAATAAATATATTTACATTATATAAATATTTGTTTTATGAGAAATTTTGTTATTTATTAATTTCAAAATCTCTTAAACCTGGCCCAGGAACTTGCACTGTTTATCTGTAAAGATGCTGCCACTTTTGCTCCATCTAGTGGAACATTAATACTTGCTCAGTGTTTACAAAATATATATAAGCTCTACCTTCTGCAGACAGATAACATTTGTACTACTATAACTTACTATGAAATGGCATTACCTTTATGAAACAATTATTTAATTTCATTTCATTTTACTACAACCACAAAATCATAGACGTTTATATACACAATGTGGTAGATTTTGAAGTAAATTTGCTGCACTTTTCATTTTGCAAGAAGTAAATTACTTCAAGTAATTCAATTATTCTATTGAATAAGCACACAAATCCAAGCTAATAAACACCAGGAATTTTACATTCATTAGGAACAATTATTCTAACAGCAATCTCTGAAAGTACACAAGTAACAACAAACTCTATTTATAAGGTTTCTAAGGTAAAAGTTTAGAGGAAATAAGCATTCTCCCTAGCAAATACAATTAACAAACATGCAAGTTTTTAGATTTTATTTTCTCTACTAGGGGATGTTCTTTTAATAATTTTCTAGGTTAATAAATATATTACTATCAACATTAAATACTGTTATTAGTATTACACAAATACATATCTATGATTATGGACAAAAAATAACTATTTATTAAAGTCATCATCCAAAATGATAGCACGCATTTGTTAGAAGTCTGATGTTGCCAAAGGCAGTATTATCTCTGATCCTAAAGTCTAATATAAAAACCCAGTATACAATTTTTCTTTATTCTCCAGTCCCACCCCAAGGAGTCAAAAGTATTTCAAAGAAGTTTAATTTCCTCCTCTTTAAAATTTTTTTTTGAAATTTTCTTGTCAGGAATGGAAAATTCCAGGGCAGTCATGGCAGTAAAACTGTGCATATGTACCGCTGAACATTGCCCAGCTAACTCCATACTGAAATTTGGCAGTGACCCATAGGTATTAAAAGTGGAGAGTCCCCAACTTACTTGAAAATTTACCTACTTAAATTATCCCTCCAACCTATTGCAATTTGATTTATAATCTGCTGTTTCAACAGAATAAATGAACCCATTAAAAACAAACATACTGTAGATATTTATATCGGGAATAAAATTTCTCTGGGGAGGATGCAATTTATGGAAGCAGAAACATTGGAAGGAAGTAACAAATTGAGGTCCTGGTTTTCTAATGAAGGATTGGAAATTGAGTTCTGCTTAAAGAAGCATGAAAAAAAAAAGGATGTGATTATTTTTCACTCGTTAGCATTTAAGTCAGTAGCAGGATTATTCACAAGTTTTGTATAGATTTAATAAAAATAGGTTTTGTAAAAATGTTGCTAGTAAAATGTTAAGTTTAATTTTTTTTAAAGCCACATATTCAAATGACTGACAGAAAGGCAGATTATCTGCATGTGATACACTGGGTTTAACTATAATAAGAAAAAATATTTGTCTATAACTTCAAGACTAGATTCTGATTAGGAAGGTTGCCCATGAATTCCAGAAAAGGAAAACAGATGCAGGCCTGCCCAGAATCCAGTTCTTAGGAAAGATGGACTTTTATTACACATGATGGTCTGTTCGACAGGCTTGTAAATAAGATATAATCTTGTCTATGATTACTATTTTCCCTGACGTAAAGATTTGAAAGGTACAGCATGCCGTTTTCTCTATCAATATGGTATGTATGCTACTAATCTTCAAGATATTTCAAATTTTATGTAACAATAAAATGGAGATCCTCAAATAAACATTGTTTTTCCTCTAAGTCTGCATACAGCATTTCTATTACATGAATGGCAAAGTGGAAAAATATGTTCAGGGTTTCACTTTGATCCCCACAGCTTCTCTAGTCAGAGGCTACATGCCTATTTGGAATTATTATCCAAAGTGTAATTCCTCTCAAATGAATTAACAAATGGTATACTACAATTTTTCTTGCAATCATGTATTTAAAGGACACGGCAAGCCACTGTTGCTCCTGTGGAAAATGAAATTAGTTCCTCGGAGAGGATACAACCAGTGCCGTGTTAATCTAACCTTCAGCTGTTAATGATTTGCGCAAGGATTCCCCTTGATGCTGAGGCTTCAACTGAAATATTGTTTTAAGAGTTTCCGTTAAATCCTCCTCGTCTTTTGCTGAGGGATGGATCAGAGTGGGTCCTGAGGACCAGCTCTCCTCCCTGCTTACATCTGTGTGATTTTAATAGCAACAAAATAAACAAAAATATCTTAAAATTTTATTTTCAGATCATTTGCTTTGCTGAGATCTTTTAGACAAAAGGCTAGGATAGATAAAAATCCACTGTAAAACTTATAAAAACTGTACACATTTCATAATTTAGAACTGCTGTTCACACCTACCAGAACAAAAAAGAAGCCATTTGCTGTCCTCATTCAAAATATAACTATAGAAAAATATGCTCCAGATTCAAGTTCACAACTTTTACCTTTCTTTCAAAGGGCATCAGAGCTTGTGTTAGCTTAAGGAGTGTTATGAAGAGTGGAATGTGAAGGAAAAGAATTGCATCTCTCCCTCTCCTCCCCTCCCCTCCCCTCTCCGCCTCTCTCTTTCTCTCTCTCTCTCTCTCTCTCTCTCTCTCCTCATCTTCCTTATACTTTGGGGGTTTGTTTTTTTAGCAAAAATATATTTCTGGTTCTTGCATATCCTGTTATAACTTTGTACTATCTTAAAAGCACAGTGCTAAGCAGAATTATAGTACTGAGGATGCAATTCATATTTCCAGTAGTTGCAATGTTATGATAAGAGAAAAATCAAATTTCACTTTGACCAAAGTCAAACTTGAAAAAGTAAAAGAAATGTTGAAGCACTCATTCAACTTGATGTCTCCCAGAGTGTTTAATAAATCCATTTCAACTCAACAGAATATGTGACCCATAATTGCACCTGCAAGGTATTTCTCAGTTACCAATTTATTTTCCGATTTCCATAAACTAAACACTTAACTTTCTCAGAATAAACTACAGTAACCAAATGGGTATTTTTTAATAACCAAATGTACATATCCTTTAAGTATGCTGGGTGATTTTCTTGTTCAATTCTATTCAAGGGAGAGATGAAATAGAGGATATTACTAGTATGTATAATTGTAAATTCTTATTTAGGGTATTCTTGGAATTAACTGAAAATAACTTAAGATATAGCCTCAGTTTGTGAAACAATGTGCAACCATGAAAGAAATTTGACTTTCAGGTTTACTTCCTCTCTAGACAATTTTATGCAATTGTATGAAATGATCTCACCTTTTCTCACATATCTTTAAGTTTTTGTTTTATTTTATTTTTTAAAATCCACCTTGGTTTCCCACTGGGCGGTTCATGGAAACATTCCTAAGTAATGAACACTGGTCAGAAGTAAAGCTCTTAAAACAGTAAAAGCAGCAATGGGTGGGAAGTAGGAATGAGAACATTCATCAACAACACAAAGCTAATGCTTCTAAGGGAATCTTCCCTCATCCTCTGCCTCTTGAGTAATCCTCATGGGTTTCTCCTCTACACACATTATAATTTACTCTTTCTAAAAAGTAGTAGGTGTGGGGGTCCAGAATGAGTCACCCAAGTGTTCCCCTGTGGTATGTAGATTGTTTTGAGCTAAAGTCAGCTTTAGCTGCAAGCTCAAGAGAAAGTTCTCCCCCTCACCCCTTGTATACCTAGAAGAATTTGAATTAGATGTCTTGCCCATAAGAGATTATCAGATAACTATTTTTGACCTACCTATAGAGCAGGATAAACTGCTATTTGTTAAGGTTCTGCTCTTCTTTTTATCTTCCAACGACCCTTTGAAGCCCCCAAGGCACCTCACCTTGCGGAAGAGTATGATCCTTCAAGAGAAGTCTATGCCTAGACTTAAGAAATGAATCAGAGTTCACCACTTTCTAAGCAGAGGGAAACATGTGTGACCTCTGGGCAATGGCAAGAAACGGAGTATGGAAGGAACAAACACTGCAAAAGGGCGAAAGGCAGTAAAGGGACCAGAAGCAAACGTGGGCAGGCCAAGACCTCCACAGATCAGGGAAGGGATTCCTACATTATCCTCAGGCAAATGGAACCTGTGAAGAGTTTTCACCAGATTCACATTATGGAAATGTTTAGCTACAAATGGCCCATAGACAGGGTACCACATAGGAGACCACTGTAGTGATCCAGTTTCATGGGATTTTGACTAGGGAGTGTCTGCACATCAGATTTCTATAGTAAGTCAAATGAATCACATTCTTTGGACACAAAATTAAAGGGGCACCAATTAGCTCAGTAATCAAAGTAAATAATATTTAGAGCTGTCTTTTGTAATGAATGAAAAGAAAAATCCATAATGAACAAAATATCAACATTTTATATAATGACAGTAACTGAATTCTTTGGAGACATATGTGTAAATAAATTCATTTTCCATCATATTTGAGAATTTCAGTTGATTCCTTCAGTGTTGCTAACCAACTAATTCACCTTGGAAGCTGAGATAGAACACCAGCTGATATCGATGTTAGCGCATCATCCAAACGACCTGGGGGCTTCCCTTTGCTGATCCAGCTGACAACTAGTTCAAGCAGCATCAAAGAAATGAAAAATGGAGTTGCCTGGAAAGAAAATTGTAGAAAAGAGATGCTATTGTGCTCAGTCTAAAATTCTCTCACATTTCCTCATTAGTCATTCCAGAAGTGGCGATTCAGAGTGACATTTTATAGAAAGAGAAGGTACACACCTTTCCTAGAGGATCATTTTCTCCTAACAAATGAATTTGATTATTTCAGACGTATACTAAACAGGTGCTCCATTCTATCAACTACTTTGGAAATAAAATATAAACAGATGTAACCATGATAATTGCACCAAGAGCATAAGAGTAGGAGGGACATGTTACAAATTAGATCTAAAAAACACATTTTAAAATAAGTGCAAAAATCACAAGTCTATTGTACATATAACTAAGCTAGACTCACTTTAAAAAGTAGTCCTTAAAAATGTACACACTTCTAGCTTTTCATATCAGTATTACAGAAATGACAAAGTTAAAACTGTAGGAACAAAGAATATTCTGAGTATTTCAAAGAATAAGGTCATTTTAAGTGTTTGAAATATAACTCAAGTTTTGTTTAGCTTTATTTTTATTTTATATAATAGATATTTTTAGGATCCACTACCAATGACCAAATATTGGACTAGGTTTGGTGTTACAATATAAAAAAATAATGATGTTTTATGCATAACCCATGACACAGACAATAGGGTGGTGAAGGCTTGGAGCAGCAGGCGGGGCCAGGATAGAAGAGGTCAATTGGGGAAAAGGAGGACATATGTAATACCTTCAACAATAAAGATTTTTTAAATATTGATTTTTAAAGACATAAGTATCACTTTTTTCTTCTTAAAAAAATCAGAAAGAGTAATATCAAATCCTGAAAAAAAGTTATGGGTTTCACTCATTTGGAAGCTGACCATGAGTTTTACAATTTTCAAAAAATAAACTACCAAGAACATTTTCTCTGATGTCATTTTTTTCTCTTCTATTTCTGGTCTGAACTAGTAAGTGTTATAGGAACTTTGACAGGGTGGGGAACCTCAGTATTCAAGTTCTAATTCTGGATATTTCCATTGCCAATCATAGCCAGGAACCAAAAGTGAAAAGTGCCTCTAAACACTTCAGAGTTTCAAATAAAACTTGATTCAAGTTCAAAGTTAGGAAGTCAGAGTTGGACTCAGTCAGCTGTGTATCCATTCTGCAGAACTACTCTACCAAATTAAAGAGGAAACAGTTTCCTGGGAGGTAGTAGACAAGTTTACCCTTGGAAAATGAAATTGTTACAAAGTTTACTGATATCAGCTTCTGTCAGCTAAATTTGTAATGTCACTGTGTCCAGGATAACTTTAAAAACTTCTGTTGTATTCTGGAGTGACATATCAGGGAAAGGGAGTTTAATAGAAGATGGTGATGGATATTATATGGAAATTCAGTTCAAGTAGAAATTCTACTTTTGCTCCATGTCTTTATGAAATGGAATTTTATTAGAATTTCATAATTTGAAAAATGAAAGTAAACCAAACCTCAAGATGTGTTAGACTTCTTAAGAAAAAGCAAGAGCAGCCTCTTCCAAGAGTCTCACCTGTTTTACATAATCAGGCACCTCTTCCAGGGTTTGGAATGACGTTTCATTGGGCTTCATCACGTAAAACATCATGCGGATTCCCTGGGAAAGGGAAACATCCCCTTGGGCTTCTGGGTTCTTCATCTCTGCCCTGGTCTGCTTCCCAGCTGGAGAATATTTGTGATTCCGTGGTTTAAGCCAGAGGCTGGACAAAGAGGACAAGACGTGCTTCACAGAACAAGCCCTTTGTCAAAGCACGGCTGGAAACAAAACTCCGCAGAGACAGGCACACAGCAGATCCTGTGCAGAGACAGGAAAATACTGGGATCAAGAACCAGTTCAAAGTTCAGTGGGCGCTGTCCCAGGAACCTGGCTTGTGGGGGAGGAGGAGGGTAAGCCTGCCCAAATCAAAGATAAACAGTGGAGTTTGGCTCTAGGTGAACTGATTAAAACAAGATAAGCAAAAGAAAAGCACAGATACCTCCTTGGAAAGGGGAAGAAAAAGAAGGGTTAACAAGTGAAAATTCACTCTGAAAGAGTGGGCAGAAACTGAAGGCTCAAATCCCATGAAGAAAATTCATTTTTTTTCTCCCTTTTGAAATTCCCAGGGGGTTCAAGTTTGTTACCTCCCCTCAGAGTCATATTTTCTCAAAGGACAGAGTGCTCTAATCTTATTTAACAAGACTAAGCTTGAAAGCACTGAATATATCATACTGGTATCTTTCTGGAGCTGTATCATGTTAATTTTGAAGTGTTGCAAACTAATTTAGAGGTATTTGGCTTGTTACATTGTTTAATAGAATGTTGACTTAGTCACATCTCTATGGTTCAAATGTATGGGGCCTAGCTGATTGAAAAAGCTCCCAGGATGGGGCTATGACACCTCATCTCTGTTTTCCAAGAGGAGCTTCAATGATTAGTTTCTTACAGGGAGACTAGAGGACATTTATTGCATCACTAGTGAAGGAGGGGAGCTTCAACAGCTCAAGCCTTCACCTAGAATGGCTGTACTCATCCTTTGGCTACCACCTAATCTTTTATTTTAAACATGTTGATATAGATTTGATCAAACTATTAATACTAGATTTGATCACACTATTGTTTTAGGGGAAAAAATAGAAACTATAGATAAGCAACAAATAAATTACTACTCAAAGACACAGTCAGTTTCGCTATCTCATTTTTAGACATGAGCAAAGCAAGGACAATGGGCCAGGCACAGAAACACCAGGGCGGAAAGCCCTGAATGCCTAGCAAGGGGCAAAAATGGGAAAACAAGAACCTCACCTCCAGGGTAACGGTTCTTCCCCTCGCACAGTGGTCGGCAAACTGCGGCCCCTTGAGTGTGGCTCTTCCACAAAATACCACGTGCGGGTGCGCACGTACAGTGCGATTGAAACTTCGTGGCCACACTCAAGGGGACAAAGAGCCGCATGTGGCTCCTGAGCTGCAGTTTGCCAACCACTGCCCTAGTTTATGACTGGTCAGTTTGGACCCCTGATCTTTCAGATCACTGCTTAGGCAT